CAAGCAAAGAAACAAACCATTAAAAGTCATTACAAAAGAAAAGGGGTTAATAATATCTCCATATTTGATTTATTTACTGACCGTTAATGGTGAACTTTCTATTTGTATTAAGGTTAAAGATACTATTTCGATTCTTTTTATTTTATCTTGAAAGAGTCCCGTTAGCATTTCTTGTTGGGCAAGTCTAGAATACTAATGCACTTCCTCAGCTCTTCATTTTCTAAGAACGTCTAAATTTCTTATTTTTGCAGGTGAACGTTGCTAAATAGAGTATTCTTGGTTGATATTTTTGCTTTTTTTCCCTTTCTTTAATTGTTTTCAACATAACCTCTCACTGCCTTCTAGCCTGCAAAGTTCCTGCTGAAAAATACATATAATCTCATACTGTTTTCCTTTATTTGATGTCTTTTTTGTTGCTGCTATCAAGACTGTATCTTTGACTTCTGATAATTTCTTTATAATATGTATCTGTGGGAGTGTCCTTGGGTTAGTTTTTATTAGAATGGTCAAGCTTCTTGAATTTCTATATTCATTTCTTTTTTAATATTTGGGTTGTTTGAACATTATTCCTATAATGGTGATTTCTCATCCTCTGTCTTCTTGTGAATCTCCAATAGTTTGTATATTGTTCCACCTGATAGTATCTCAAAAATATATTAGGGTTGGTTTTCTTCATCATTTTATTTTTGGGCTCTTTGGAGCTGATAGTTTTGAATACCTGTCTTTCAGTTTGCTCATTGTTATCTATTCCTTTTGCAGTCTGCTGTTGAATTGTTTAGTGAATTATTACTTCAGTTACTGTATTTCAGCTCCAGAATTTCTGTTCTTTTGTTTTTAGTAGTTTCTTCTGTGGTTGATATTTTTTTTCTTTTCGTGTAATGTTTGCCTAATTTTATTTTGTTATCTATCTCTGTTATCTTTTTTAGCTCATTAAGCATCTTAAGGCAGTTGCTTTAAATACCTGTCAAGTAGTTCAGAGGGCTGCTTATTTTTAGGTTTGTTTATTGGAAATTGATTGATTGATTATAATTTTAGCCGTATTTCCTTGTCATTTTGTATGCCTTGTAATTTTGGTTTAGGTTTGGTAGAGCAACCATTTCTCCCAGTTATTTTGTATAAGAATTGTGCAGGAGCTAGGCGCGGTGGCTCACGCCTGTATTCCCAGCATTTTGGGAGGCCAAGGCAGGCAGATCACAAGGTCAGGAGATTGAGACCATCCTGGCCAACATGGTGAAACCCCATCTCTACTAAAGATACAAAAAAATAGCCGGCCGTGGTAGTGTGTGCCTGTAGTCCCAGCTACGGCCACTACACTCCAGCCTAGTGTCAGAGTAAGACTCCATCTCAAAAAACAACAACAAAAAAAATTGTGCAGGAGGATACCTTTACTAATTAGCTTGCTATAAAGCGGGTAGAAACAGTCACTCATTCTCTGGGGGTGTGTTTTTTTTCTGGCTTGTGGAAGTACCATTACTAATGACTACACAGCTGCTCTAAAAGTTCTCATTTTCCCTAAGAGAATCATCCCTGCTTTTTCTCAGGAGCTTTTAATTTTTGTTGTATTTCTCTGCTCACAGTCTCTGTCCAGCTAACCCATAATCCACCTGACTCCTGTAGATTCCCCATTGCTCCAATGCATCCCTCAGTCCCTTTTGTTTTCTGTACTGCCAGCATACACAGCATGCTGATATTCTTTCCAATGCCTGAGTCATATGAGACAGAATCTAGTCTCTCTGTCAGACACTAAACATGCCATTGTCATGGGTTGAAGTTCCTCTTTTTTCTTTCTTTTTTAGAGAGCAGCTCTAAATTGGGAAGCAACACAGGAAACAAATCTCTTAAAAATCAACTTGGATTGACCTTTCAGTTACATCTGAGTGAACCGAAGCTATTTCAAGCTGAAAGAAATATTTCTGGATGTAAACATGTTGAAAAACCTATCAACAACAATTCCTTAGTTTCACCACTTCAGAAAATTTATTCTAGTGTCAAATCCCACATTTTAAATAAATATAGAAATGATTTTGATAATTCTCCATTACTCCCACAAGAACAAAAAGCACAAATTAGGGAAGAACCTTGTGAATGCAATGAGCATGGCAAAGTCTTTAGAGTGTCTTCAAGACTTGCTAACCATCAAGTAACCCATACTGCAGATAACCCTTACAAATGTAATGAATGTGGCAAGGTCTTTAGTAGTAGTTCAAACCTTGTGCAACATCAAAGAATTCATACTGGAGAGAAGCCTTACAAGTGTCATGAATGCGGCAAGCTCTTTAATAGAATTTCACTCCTTGCACGACATCAGAGAATCCATACTGGAGAGAAACCTTACAAATGTAATGAGTGTGGCAAAGTCTTCACTCAAAATTCTCACCTTGCAAATCATCACAGAATCCATACTGGGGAGAAACCTTACAAATGTAATGAGTGTGGCAAGGTCTTCAGTCGAAATGCACACCTTGCACGACATCAAAAAATTCATAGTGGAGAGAAACCTTACAAATGTAATGAATGTGGCAAAGCATTTTCAGGGGGTTCAGGCCTTACTGCCCATCTTGTAATTCACACTGGAGAGAGACTTTACAAATGTAATAAATGTGGCAAGGTCTTCAGCCGAAATGCACACCTTACCAGACATCAAAGAATCCATACTGGAGAGAAACCTTATGAATGTAAAGAATGTGACAAGGTCTTCAGGCATAAGTTTTGTCTAACCAATCATCTTAGAATTCACACTGGAGAGCAACCTTACAAATGTAACGAATGTGGCAAAGTCTTCAGTTACAATTCACACCTTGCACAACATCAGAGAATACATACTGGAGAGAAACCTTACAAATGCAGTGATTGTGGCAAGGTATTTAGTCGACTTTCATGCCTTACACGACATCAAAGAGTTCATACTGGAGAGAAGCCTTACAGATGTAATGAATGTGGCAAGATCTTCAGGCGTAGGTTATCCCTAAGCAGCCATCAGAATATTCATACTGGAGAGAAACCTTATAGATGTAATGAATGTGGCAAGGAATTCACTCGAAATTCAAGCCTTGCAATTCATCACAGAATCCATGCTGGAGAAAAATCTTACAAATGTAGTGAATGTGGCAAAGTCTTTAGTCAGAATTCACACCTTGCACGACATAGGAATATTCATACTGGAGAGAAGCCTTACAAATGTAGTGAATGTGGCAGGGTCTTCAGCCACAAGTTATACCTAACAAAACATGAGAGAATTCATACTGGAGAGAAACCCTACAGATGTAATTAATGTGGTAAAGACTTCACTAGAAATTCAAACCTTGCAAATCATCACAGAATTCATACTGGAGAGAAGCCTTACAGATGAAATGTGTGTGGTAAGAGCTTTAGTCATAATTCACACCTTGCATAGCATGAGAGAACTGAGAGAATGCATTCATGAGAGAGTTCTTACAAACTGAGTATGGCAAATTCTTCATCATTAGTTCCAGCATTAATCAACATCAGAGATTCCATACTAAAGAGAAATTATATCAATGTATGTGACACAGGTCTCTTGAGGCCTGCCAAATGACTAGACATCAAAGCACATCTTCGATAAAACCACACAGGCCAGGCGCGGTGGCTCAAGCCTGTAATCCCAGCACTTTGGGAGGCCGAGGCGGGTGGATCACGAGGTCAAGAGATCGAGACCATCCTGGTCAACATGGTGAAACCCCGTCTCTACTAAAAATACAAAACATTAGCTGGGCATGGTGGTGCGTGCCTGTAATCCCAGCTACTCAGGAGGCTGAGGCAGGAGAATTGCCTGAACCCGGGAGGCGGAGGTTGCGGTGAGCCGAGATCGCGCCATTGCACTCCAGCCTGGGTAACAAGAGCGAAACTCCGTCTAAAAAAAAAAAAAAAAAAAAAACCGCACAGATGGATTGTGTATGCTGAGGCTATTATTTAATGACCATTACTATGGAACATAAGAATTACACAAGCAATAACTTAGTCTCTAGTTCTCCGATATTTATGATATTGCATGTCACAGAAAAATTACAGCTCAAAATATGTGGAATCTCATGATGTGGTGTATGTCAAGGTTCAAGGGCATGTGGAAATGGTCAGTTATATTCCGGCAATTAACCTAATTATACGGGGTTTTTTGAAAAGCCTACTTTACATTTTATGGCTTTGATTCTTAACTTTGAAATTACTTAATGTGACTTTTTTACAGACCTTTCATTGTGGTCTCTTGAAAAGAATCAGTAGGAAGGTAGGGTACTTCATTAGCTGAAAAGCATTTCTTTTTTTTTTTGAGTCGGAGTTTCGCTCTTGTTATACAGACTGGAGTGCAATGGCGCGATCTCGGCTCACCGCAACCTCCGCCTCCTGGGTTCAGGCAATTCTCCTGCCTCAGCCTCCTGAGTAGCTGGGATTACAGGCATGCGCCACCATGCCCAGCTAATTTTTTGTATTTTTAGTAGAGACGGGGTTTCACCATGTTGACCGGGATGGTCTCGATCTCTTGACCTCGTGATCCACCCGCCTCGGCCTCCCAAAGTGCTGGGATTACAGGCATGAGCCACCGCGCCCGGCCTGAAAAGCATTTCTATACAGTTTCCTGAGGAAGAACAACAGTACATTTTCAGTTCATTGTCTGATTTTGCATGGAGGTGGGCAGGAATCATATAAAACTATGATGGCAATCTGATGGCAGATCATACTGTTGTGTTCAGCACATGTTTGTCCTGACAGAAGGGCACAGTGCTGCTGTGCTCTACCAACTAGCCATGAAATACAGCATATCTGTAGAAATCATGCAGGGGAGATGGTGGTCAGCCTGGCAACATGGTAAACCCTATCTCTACTAAAATACAAAAAATTATCTGGGTGTGGCAGTGTGCGCCTCTAGTCCCAGCTACTCGCTAGGCTGAGGGAGGAGAATTGCAAGAACCTGGGAGGTGGAGGTTGCAGTGAGCCAAGATCATGCCACTGCACTCCAGACTGGGCGACAGAGCGAAACTCTGTCTCAAAAAAAGAAGTAGTCATTTTTGAAATGGACGAGAGAACGGTTATATCAGATTAGAGAATTTACTAGTATGCCATGTTCTTGAGTAGCATTCACATTTACCTGTTGGCATGATTTCCAACTGTTGATTTAGAATATACATAGTTCTCATGTTTTGGTTAATAAAGTTAAAATTTTGCTAAGTATGAGTGAATCACGTCATTTCTACCAACTGTTTTATTCCCCCCTTAGGAGAATATAGTGCACAATAATGCACCATTAATAGTAAATACCCTGCAATGCAGTTTTCTTTGTCTTCACTCTGAGCTATGTAGTGGTGATATGTGTCTAACTACTCTAACTTTAGTGTTAAATAGGCATTTTAAAAATGCAGCATTCGAATTTTAAGATTGACACATCCAGAATAATTTTGTGTGTGTGTGTGTGTGTGTGTGTGTGTGAAATGAAACAACATATGCACACATTTGTGGATCCATATCCTTGGCTAAGTATAATTTAGATTAATCATACTTAATACTTGAGTTATTCTCTCTGTGCATTTGCAAAGGATGCTTATATGGGTACGTACAAAATTCTGTAACACAGGCGGGCATGGAGGCTCACTTCTGTAATCCCAGCACTTTGGGAGGCTAAGGTGGGCAGATCACGAGGTCAGGAGATCGAGAACATCCAGGCCGACATAGTGAAACCCCATCTCTACTGAAATACAGAAAACTAGCCAGGCATGGTGGCGGGCATCTGTAGTCCCAGCTACTTGGGAGGCTGAGATGGGAATTGCTTGAACCCGGGAGGTAGAGGTTGCGGTGAGCTGAGATCACACCACTGCACTCCAGCCTGGTGACAGAGTGAGACCCTTTCTCAAAACAAACAAAAAAAAATGCTGTAACAATGCAACTTCAGCCTCATACACCCTCAAAAGTGCATCAAACATTCACTGTTTGTTATATTTCTACATGCCTCTTTTGTGCTAAAGAAGACTCATAGCGTGCACCTTAATTTTTATGAAGCAAAAGTACAAATATATGACAAATATTATTAAGTGAAAGTATGTGGGCCGGGTGTGGTGGCTTACGCCTGTAATCCAAACACTGGAGGCCAAGGCGGGTGGATCATCTGAGGTTGGGAGTTCAAGACCAGCCTGACCAACATGGTGAAACTCCGTCTTAAAAAAAAAAAAAAAAAAAAAAAAAAAAAAAAAAAAAAAAAAAAAAAAAAAAAAAAAAAAAAAAAAAAAAGTATGTGAATAAGAGTGAAGATACTGTACCACAATGTGGTACAGAAAAAAAAAAAATCTTTTTTTTCTAATAGTGCTCAGTGACTTAAGTGGAAAATATTAACGTTTATAATTTTATCTTAAGAATGGTCACACAGAATGGGAATTTTTTTTGCTTTTGTAGATTAACTAGAAACTTCATATGTTCACCCTCATAACATTTTTGGTAATTTGAACTTTTGACTGCTCTACTGGAATTTGTTTGAGGTTCACCTAAAGTTTGGGTTAGATATTGAATATGATGATGCCGTAGACTGATGGTCTGCAAATGTCTACTACGTAATGAGGCTTTCTGGCAAAAGCAGGATGGACTTCCGCAGCTTGTCCAAAATTGGCTTTGGAGAAAAGGATAGGTGAGTAGCTTGGGATGTTTTATTAGTCTGTTCTCATGCTGCCAATACAGACATACCCAAGACTGGATAATTTATAAAGAAAAGAGGTTAATGCACTTGCAGTTCCACAGTGCAGGAGAGGCTCACAATCATAGCGGAAGGTGAAGGAACAAACGCATGTCTTACATGGCAGCAAGCATGAGAGGGCCTGTGCAGGGCAACTGCCCTTTATAAAACCATCGGATCTCATGAGATGTATTCACTATCATGAGAACAGCACGGGAAAAACCCACTCCCATGATTCAGTTACCTCCCAGCAGGTCCCTCCCACACGTGGGGATTATGGGAGCTACAATTCAAGATGAGATTTGGTGGGGACACAGTCAAACCATATCATTTCACCCCTGGTCCTTCCCAGTCTCATGTCCTCACATTTCAAAACCAATCATTCCTTCCTAACAGTCCTGCAAAGTCTTATTTCAGCATTAACTCAAAAGTCCACAGTCTAGACTTTCATCTGAGACAAGCAAGTCGCTTCTGCTTATGAACCTGTAAAATCAAAAGCAAGTCAGTTATTTCCTGGGTACATTAGAGCTACAGGCATTGGGTAAAGCCTATTCCAAACGGTAAAAATTGGCCAGAGCAGAGGGGTCCCCATGCAAGCCCGAAATCCAGCGGGGCAGTAAATCTTAAAGCTCCGAAATGACCTCTTTTGTCTCCATTTCTCACATCCAGGTCACGCTGATGCAAGAGGTGGGTTCCCGTGGTCTTGGACGGATCCTCCCCTGTGACTTTGCAGAGAGCAGCTCCACTTCTGGCTGCTTTCACAGGCTAGGGTTGAGTGTCTGCTACCTTTCTAGGCACGCAGTGCAAGCTGTTGATGAATCTACCATTCTGGGGTCTGGAGGAGGGTGCCCTCTTCTCACAGCTCCCCTAGGCAGTGCCCCAAGAGGAGTCTGCGGGGGCTCCAACCTCACATTCTCCTTGTGCACTGCTCCAGCAGAGGTTCTCCTCAAGGGCTGCACCCTTCTGCTAAATGAAAGTATGTGAATAAGAGTGAAAATGCTGTACCACAAGAAGTGCAGCACACTTCTACTCCAGTTCCCAGTAAAGCTCCTTATCTCCGTCTGAGACTACCTCAGTGTGGACTTTTTGGTCATTCAGCAACCATTCTTTAGGAAGCTCCAAACTTTCTCATGTCTTCCTGTCTTCTTTTGAGCCCTCCAAACTGTTCCAGCCTTTGCCTATTACCCAGTTCCAAATTCGCTTCCACATTTTCAGGTGTCCTTATAGCAGCACTTCACTCCACTGTTACCAATTTCCTGTATTAGTCTGTTCTCATGCTGCTGATAAAGACATACCAGAGACCGGGTAATTTATAAAGAAAAAGAGGTTTAATTGACTCACTTCCACAGGGTCGTGCCCCCCGTGTTTCTGCTGTAGGGCCTAGTAGACAGCTCCTATCATGGAGTTTTCCTGCTTTAAATCCTTCAGTGTCTCCTACACACCTGAGTTTTGAAGGTCCTCACCACAAGGTGGATCCTGTCCTAGGAGCCTCCCAGCCTCACCCTCATCAGCTCCTGGAGCGTAGCGTCCTAGTCCAAGGGAGGCCGTGTCCTCTTCTGGTCCTGGGATCCTGCAGACCCTGCCCCTTTCCTGACTTTCTCCTGCCTTTTTTGTCCTTGATCGGGGGCCCTTCTGCTCCCCAGGCCTTCCCTTTCCAGCCACTGCTCCTCCTGACCTCGAGTGTGGGGAGGTGACTTCTATCTCGGGACATTCAGGTTTCTCTGGTCTCAAATTCTACCCCACTGAAAAGGTGCTCTTGAGGTGGCCATCTGACTCCAGTCCTTTCCCTGTGAATGTGCAGAGGAAAGTAAGGGAAAGAAAATAGAAAAATGGTGAAATGGGAAGGAAGAATTAAGGAGATCCATAAACAGATGGCAAAGTAGATGGTGGATGAGGGATTAGCAGAGATAGTAAATGAAGATGCCGAGAGGAGCAGGGGGAGAAAAACAACTGGAGAAATTTTGAGAAAAACTGGATTTCTAGAGAGAGAAAGTTCAACAAGATAGGGAGAGGGGCAGAAAGAGGGAGGCCCCTCAGACGGAGAGTTGGGGAGAGGAGGGATGTGAAGACAGGGAAGACAGAGCAGTGTGGTGCTGGGACAGCAAGAGGGGGCACCCGGTGACAAGGAGAGCAAAGGGAGAACCACAGTAGGGGGAGGCCTGGGACCTACGGTGTCGGAGAGTGGGGACAAGGAGGTGTAGCAGGGAAGAAGGAATTTAACAAACTCCCTTTAGATGTATCCAGTAACACAGTTTACAGGGATGAAGATACCTTCCTTTCAGTCAAGGTATTAGCCTGCACAACCATCATATTTTCTGTTAGTACACCGTGTTTTTTTCTCTTGTCCTCAGGCCACCCTCCCTCCTCAGCCTGTCACTTTAATTTCCTTTTCTTCCTTTATTTCACTGGCTGGAACCTTTTCATACTGTGTGGAATAGTAGTGATGAGAAAGACATCCTTGCCCTCAATCCAATCCCTGGGGGAATCTTTCTGTCTTTTACCAGAATCTATGATGATCCTGTAAGGGTTGGTAGGTGATCTTGAGGAAAGTTTCCCATGATACTGTTTTCCATACGGACTGCAGTATTTTAGATTCTTAACAAATGTACAAAGATACAATTTCTCCACAACCTTGCTTGTGAAGCAGGTTCACTGCATGCTGGTTGCCAATGTGTCTGAGTTGAGAGAGAGAGAACCTCACGCACACACAGTAAGTGACATGAAGTGGATTTGTTCCATACAGATGGGCAGATGCCTGTGATTTGTGCACACTGCTCCCCAAGGCTCAGGAAACCCACCCAGTGTAGATGCAGTCTCTCTGTGTGTGCTCCATTTGCATCACAGATGAGGGACCCTGAAGGACAGCCCATCCTGGGTTTCGTGCTCCAGGGATGCATGGCACCTTGGCCTAAGGCATCAAAGGACATCCTGTCCTGGGGGTCTGGAACACATCCTGTCCTTTTCTGGCTGGTCGTTTCCTCTCAGGATGCTGCATTTCCAGCACATTCTACATTCGTTCTTGGGAGCTACAAGTGAGAAGCCAGATGCAACTTGGCCAATTCAACCCCACTTGAATGCTATCCTGCAGTCTCCCCACCAATCCAGATATCCCTTTTATTTTTTATTTATTTATTTATTTATTTTGAGACGGAGTTTTACTCTTGTTACCCAGGCTGGAGTGCAATGGCGCGATCTCGGCTCACCGCAACCTCCGCCTCCCGGGTTCAGGCAATTCTCCTGCCTCAGCCTCCTGAGT